AACATTTACAAATATAGCTAAATTCCAATTGTAACCCTTTTTGTTCCCACTGCCCTTTCTCTCTCTTAAGAGGTAATCACTCTCTTAAAGTCAGGTATCATTCCTACCTATGTTTTAGCATTTTTACTACGAATGTATGTGTCCATAAATAATGTACATTTTTGTATATATAAAAAAATTTACATACATGGAATCATACTGTAGGAGGCTGAATTTAGAGCCAAAGTGCCTGGATTTAAATTCTGCCTGTCACGGATCTCTTTTTGGGGTCATGAAAGTGTCTAAAATTACATAGTGGTGATGGTCACAGAATTCTCTGTGCTAAAAATGACTGAATTCTACACTTTCAAAGTGAATTTAATGCTACATAATTTTATGGCATATAATTATATCTCAGTAAAGCTGTTATAAAAATATAGATCACAATGAAAGGTGATGTATAAGAAAAAATTCTGGCTACATTATCTGTTATAAGTTGTGTGACCTTGGACAAGGTATTTAAAAAGCTTTCTTTGCCTCCATGTTCTCATCTATAAAATAGGATAATTATGTCATCTAGCTGGCAAGTTTACTATGAGGATTGATTTAATTAATACTTGTAAAAACACTCAGAACAAGGTGGGAGGAGTAAACATTAGCAATTATTATTATTATTATTTTATTATTATTGCAATTTAGGGTTTTACTGTGTTGATTTCAATGTTTCTGATGATATATGTGGATTAGTTGATTCATTTTAGCTGTTCTATAATATTCACTTGCATACAAAATACGTTTATTTAATCTGTTTCCCTATTGATGGATGTTAGGTGATTTCCAAATTTGTTATTACAGTGTTGCAATGAACATCCTTACACACGTATCCTTGGGCATATGTAGGGGTATCAAAAGGGAACCCGGAGGGAATTACTGGATCTTGGGTATGTAAATGTTAAAGAAAAAAATTATTTATGACACTTGTTAAAGATGGTAAGGCTGACTTTATTCAAGGGGGGCTACCCTCAGTTGGTTAGAGAGTAGTGCTGATAACACAAAGGTTCTGGGTTTGATCCCTGTACCAGCCAGCAAATAAAACAAAACAAACAAGGGGGGGGGCTACAAAATGGTGTTTTGTACTAGGGGAGGAGGTCACATTTACCTCTGAATACAATGAGGAAAATTGGGAACTTAAAGCCAAGGAGCAGAGTGTGTGCATCTGGGAGGGGTGCCAACGGATGGAAAATTACTAAGGAAACATCAGGGGTAAGAGGGGATTTCTGGCTGACCCGACCTAACAGGATTCTTGCTGAAGGCAGGCTAGGGTGATCAGACATCACCTGCGGCATGGCAGGGGAATAGGAACCCAGTCAGATATTGAGGATAATCAGACATTGAGGATGGGGGATGCTGCCTAAAGTGACTTACCAGGATTCTTGCTAAAATTGGACAATGCACAGATGAACATGGAACCCCCCAAATCAAGGCCTATTTGAAAAAGGAGTTCAGAGGAGCCTGACAAAAGTTAGGTCAAGGAGAGAATCTTTGTTAACCTTTTGACTTTATTCAATATTACTAAATTTGTAGGCAGTCTAGATATATTCTGGATATGGAACAAAGGTTGACTCTCAGGTTTTAGGCTTGGACAAATGTGTGGATTGTGTGCCATTCACATGGATAAAGAGTGGTAATGGAAAACAATTTTTTTTTTCCTTTTTTACTGACCGGTAACGGGATCGCAACCCTCGGTGTTGCGCCTGCACCGCGCTCAGCCAGTGAGCGGGAACCGGTCTCCACATGGGATCCGAACCCTCGGCGGGAGTGCCGCTGCGCTCCCAAGTGGCGCACTCTCCAGTGCGCCACTGGGCCAGCCTGGAAAACAAATTTTACGAAGATCAAGAGTTGTTTTATCCCTGCAACAGCCAGCCACGCGCGCACACACACACACACACACACACGCACGCACACACACAAAGAGCTCTTTTAGACAAATTTGAGATGCTTTTGCATCAGCCAAGAGAACAAGTCTGTGCTGTAGATATACTTTTGGGAGTTGTCAGCTTATAGATGGTATTTAAAGTGATAGCAATGCTCATAGTTATCTCCTGAGAGAATTTGGAGAGAGATGGCAAGTGATCTACAGAATTTATTCATTTGGAGAAGGCAGATTCAGTAATGGATACTGAGATGTAGGACCAATAAAATAGAGAACAACCAGAAGAGTGTTTTTACTGAACCCAAGTCCAGCTGCCCTCTGCCCAAAGACTCAAAAGTCAAATGTTGGTGATAAGGGAAGCCAGCTTTACTCAGGATTGGTAACCTGAAGGAGATGGTACACAAACCTATCTCAAAGACTCAGATTTACTGCGGGTTTTTTAAAGAGGGCAATGAGGGAAAGGAACATGGAAGTGAAAAGCAGGAGGGAGGTAGACATGTAAGGGGCCAGGTGCAAATTTTTTCCAAAGCTCTGTCTGGCTTCTGTTCTCGTCCTTTATGTTTTCTTGGGGTCCTGCAGGACTGTGATTTGCTTTGGGTGGAATCAGCAGAGTTTTATTAATGTCTTCCTTGGTTTCTCAGGGTCTGGATAGTATGTGTCTTGTGTAAGTTTGCAACTCCAGGCTGACTGGAAAACAACTTCACATTTATGTAAATAATGTCATCTTGCCCCATAATCAAGGTTCAAAATATCGAATAACCACGGGAAAAGAGGGAACTCAGAGAAATGCATGCTAAGAAAAAAAAACTCTGTCCTTTTTTTTCCCCTAAAGCCCATGCAGTTTTAGGTTCCAACATGGCTTCAGTACTGCTCACTCCAACAGTGTGATATCATGGAAGCTAGAGAGGTACATGAAGCTTTTTCAATTTTTGTAATAGCTGCACAAGCTTTCATTGCATGGATGTACCCTAATTGCTCTTCTGTTTGGATTCAGATGTATTTCATCACTTTTCTATTATAAACTACACTTAGACGAACATTCTTATAGATTCGTCTTTTTTTTTCCACTCTGATTATTTCCTTTGTATATACTTCTATTTGTAGGTCAAAAGGAATGCCGGGGGCCGGCCCGTGGCTCACTCGGTAGAGTGCGGTGCTGATAACACCAAGGCTGCGGGTTCGGATCCTATATAGGGATGGCTGGTTTGCTCACTGGTTGAGCGTGGTGCTGACAACACCAAGCCAAGGGCTGAGATCCCCTTACCAGTCATCTTTAAAAAAAAAAAAAAAAAAAGGAATGCCTATTCAACAGTTTTTGCTCTAAGTTGCTCATCATCTTCTAGAAAGTTTGCTTTGATTTGTATACCCATCAGAATGAGTTGCCTTTTCCTCCATACTCATTAATACTGGGCATTTCTAGTGATGGTGGAAAAGTAGTGAGAAACACATATTACATATCAACATTTTTAATGCCTGCAAAGTGTGCCATTGTGTGGATGTTCATAATTCATTTAGTCAATTGTCTAAATAATTGTCTTCTTCTTTGGGCATTATAACTGGTGTTGCAATTAATAGCTTTTTGGGGGGGGGGGTGGCTGGCCAGTAGGGGGATTTGAACCCTTGATCTTGGTGTTATAACACTGCATTGTTTTTAACTATATGTTTTTGCTCGTTCTTAACCTTTTCCTTAGGATAAATTCCTGAAACTGAAATTGATGTGTCAAAGGCATTTGCATTTTTAAAGCTGTGGATACATATATATAACTCACTTTCTGAAAGGTGTACTTCCAGAGCATCAGCAGGTCATGGGAAGGGACATCCCTAATCTTTGGAAGCTATCTGGACAGAACTACATCCTTAATACCCTCTACCAGGGTGAATGCGTCCAATATGACTATATATAGAAAACATGTTAAAATTCTTAAACAATACCACTTTTGCACATCACGCGGGGGTTGAGGGCCAAAATCTGAGAATTTTATTCCAGCCATATTATCTAATCCATGATCTCCTAAAGATTGTTTTCAACAGCACTGAGTTGGCAACCAAGTCATCAGGACCACCTCCAGAGGGCAGAGGATGGATTTTTTTACGCTGAGGGCTTGAAAGCACAGTCGATCCAGTGTGGCCAGGAGGTCATCTGGAAAAGACTCTCAGGTTTGAAAACATTTCAATTGTAAATTCGGTCTCAAAAACAGCGGAATTTCTGTTAGGTTGGATTCACTATGGAATCTAGTTGGTATCTCCCATTTTGTTGTGGTTTAACGGTTGAACATAACAGATTTAGTTCTCATTGTGACAGGTCTTGTACATGCTTTTGATTTTTTTTTTTTTGAAAACAAATGACAAAGTCATTGTTTCCGCAATAGGTAAACATTTGCATTAGTCTCTGCAGACACCTAATTCTTACATTGATACCTGAGTCTTGGCACGAGATATGAGCGTTATGACTCGTCTGCAGATGCTCTGGACACCCGGAAAGGGCAGACGGAAGCGAGGCCGGGGTCGGCCGGGGCGTGGCAGGCAACCGGACCGCCACCGTCCTCGCTCCGGAAGCCCCGCAGACCTCAGCCCGAGGACGAGCCCACCTTGACACGCGTGCCGGGGGTGCGCCCTTGCCGGACCAGCCCATCCTTTCCTCCCGGAAGGAGGAAGGGGAGGAGCCTGCGGCAGGGCCCGCCCCCGACAGCGGCGCACGCGTGGCTGGGGCGGGTCTTCCGGCGGGAGAGTGGCTGATTTCCTGACCGGGCCGCGATCACTGTGGAGGTGGTGCTGGGCTAGCGGCTGGTTGGGCTGTTGCCTGCGCGCCGCCGGCGATGCTGGGGGGCAGCTCCGGGGCCCGCGAGCGCGAAGTGGAGGGCGACAGAGCTGGGGCCGTGGCTGCGCCGCCCGCCATCGACTTCCCTGCCGAGGGTCCAGACCCCAAGTACGATGGTGAGGGACCGGAGTGCCACGGCGCCGCTCCGCTGCACCCTGTCCAGCGTTCCCGGGAGGGCCGGGCGGCTGCGAGGGTCGTCTCAGGGCCTGGGCGAAGTCGGCTCTCTCGGGGCTTGAACCCGGGGCCAGTCATGCAGCGCAGGGGTGGGTGTGCGGGGGGCGGCGGGCGGGCCGTGAGGGCTAAGGTAAATGTTTATTGAAACCAGTGTCTGCGACCCGCTTGTTTGTTTACGTTTCTGTTCTTTGCGGACTGAGGCCTTCAGATGGCTGAGGCCTTCCGTGAGGCCACTTTCCAGTTCCCAAGCCCTGTAGTTATGTCAGTCGTTGGGAATGATCTTTGTTAATTACTAGAATGGGAGTTTTCAGACTGTACGCGCCGAGCAATTTGGGTTCTTTTAATTTGTAGCTTCTTTTGTCTTTTGCTTCACTGATAGGGTAACTAAAGACTTCTAATAGTGTGGAAATCATCCACTTCGGTTTAAAGAAAAAATGCCCAAGTTTTCTTAAGGCTTTTGGTTACTAGGAGATATGGCATAACTAAGTCAGTTATTACCAAAAAGTGAGAGGTCCTAAAACACTGACTTTGACCAGGTCAGAGTGTCCAATATTTTAATGAAAGTGCAGTAGGGTCTTTAGTTGCTCCTGGTTGTTTTGGCAGTTTTTAAAATTAAATTGTGCTATCAAATGAATACATTGATTCAGGGAGGTTTTTAACTCTATGGTAGTTGAAATAGAATGATTCAGTTGGAGCATAAAACAAATAATATGTTGTAATATTAATATGGATTTAAAGGTGCAAACTGAGTTGAAAATATTTTGATTTATTCAAATATAATAAATCAAATGGAATAAATGTTAAAATGGAAAAGTTCTTTTATTTTCATCCTTAACACTACCTGTAATTCTTCACCGTAACAGGGAACAAAAGCAAACTGGTGGTAATTCAAGTAGGCTATTACAGAGGAAAGTTGTAAGATCACTATTTTTTAATGGACAGATGGATTTTTTTCCACATGTAAGGTGGTATATTATAGCAGCTTAATAATATGGAAAGCGTTATGTCATAGGATAAGTCCCAGCTATAAACATGCAAGTCTGTCTTTTCTGTAACATTGTGATAGGGTTTCTGCAAACTGAAGATTATTCTTGAGGAGAGTGATCTTAGATAAGCTCTTAAAATTTTACTTCTCCTGGGTTACTGATAATACTGTTATGCTTATGTAGTGCCATTTCTTCCAAAGAGGCCCAGAATGTCCAGACATAATTTATCTTTTTATTTGATAAGTAAGGTCTGTGAAAAATGATATATATACTTTTTCCCTGCTTAAGTAATACTTTACTGAGAATTGCTGGGATGGTGGTTATTCCCTCCTGCACCACACTGTAGGAAATCAGTGAGAAATCATGAACTGTCCCAACACCTGTAGCCAGTACAGGGAGGAGGAAAGTCGTTTCCCCAAAAGAGTTGGTCTGAAGTCTTCCCTAATCCAAGAGGGGTTGGGAGGACAGGTGCAGAGGGGACCATCACATGCAACACCTGTAGCCAGTACAGGGAGGAGGAAAGTCGTTTCCCCAAAAGAGTTGATCTGAAGTCTTCCCTAATCCAAGAGGGGTTGGGAGGACAGGTGCAGAGGGGACCATCACATGATATTGGGGTGGGGATGGGGTATGCTCTACCCCTCACTGGCTCCTCAAAAAATGGAGAAGAAACAGTTCCATTTTCTCTTTGGGGGTGGAATTCTTGGTTACTGGGCTCATTTCTTACCTTTGATGAGGCTGTCATTTCCCTGGGTGAAACTTGTCCCATAGGTTCAGGAAAAGGTTGTCAGCAGTGAGATAGATACGATTCTGTGATGTGATTGTCTTGGAGATGTTCGGGCTGCCGGGATCTTGCGAAGTTTGATGTAGCCAGGTTCTTGCTCAGTGCTTCTCCAAGGTGAGCAGGGCAGGGTTAAGGGTTCACAGAAGGCCAGGTCTCAGTCTCTGGCCTCATTCTTACTACTCTCCTGCTCCAGTCCTCCTCTGGGCTGTCAGATTCAAGGTTGTGCTCAGATGGCTCGTTTCCAGCTCTACTTTGGTCCCCAGCTATGGTCCTGCCTGAAGGCTGCTGCCAGCAGCTGGGGGCAGCAGCAGAAATGAAGACAAGGCCTGCAGTGCTGTTGATCTGGCCTTACGGTGGGGAGCCAGGCCTCAGGCAGATATCTCATTTTTAGTGGATGTGAAGACGGAATAGTTAAATAATTTCTCACAAGTGGTCTGTATGATTTGAGGAGGTCAATCTGCCAGTTAATGAAAGAGTCAGAAAATTCAAAACCTAGATGTAACTTTAAAACTTGTGTTCTTCAGTTTATTGTAGGAATTCTCTTAGAGCCAACATTGGCCTTTGATCAAAGTTACTGTATTACTGTATGCTTTCTTTCTATGAAACAGCATGCATTATCGGAGGGCCAGCAGTAAGCCCATTGTCAGACTCATTAATTTTCTTTCATCTGACACCAGTTTTCAAAAATTTTACCTCAGATTAATCCCCCCGGCTCCTCTTTCACTTAGTAATGGACCTTTGGATTATACTTTCCTGAGGAGATTGAATTGGGTTATCCCTTATATCTGTCTACTCCCATCCTACATGGTAGAAATCTAAAACAGTAATTCAGCTAGGATCTGTATCTTATCTCTTACCATTTCATAAGAGAGCTTAACCTCATTTTTCCTTTTAGCTATGTTCCTTTCACTCTTCTGCTGTTGACTGGTACTGTGAAGTGGGAAGCTTTCAGCTTCAGCCTTCATTTACCTTTCCGTTTTAATGCATTTGAATATCTGTCTGCTGGTCTTTTTTACAAGCTGTCATTTTCTTGATTTATTAAAGCTTCATTTTACTCCACTGACCAACCATTCTCTTTTGTTTTTTCATATTAAAAAGTTAAATTTTTGTATTGTAGAAACCAGGAAACTATAAGAGCATAAAGCAGCAGGAAACCCTCCTAACCATAATCTCACCATTGTTAACAATTCAGTTTACTGTATATATTTTTAAAATCTCACATTACAGAATATATTGAGAATACAGGAAAACATAAAGAATAAAATTAAGAAATCATAGACTCATCACCCAGAGATTATAGTTTACATTTTGGTATAGCCAGAGACAATTTTTTTGGTGATTTCATATTTAAAACTATTTGTGAAAGAAAGATTTTGTCATGAATGGTTTAAAGATTTCCATCTGATTTTTGTCCAAATACGTAAAAAAGTTAGAGGGATCATTCATAAAGATTTAAAGGTGTAAAGGAAAAGAGGGGGAGAGGGAGTCACCAATACTGTCATCCCAGGGAAGAACTCACTGTTAACAATTTGATGTCTTCATTTGAAAATATTTATTGAGAGCTGCCATATGGCAGGCACTGTCTTAGGTACTGAGAGTCAAACAAACAAACAGTTAAATAGCATGTAAAATGTAGTTTCATTTCTTTTACAAATTCTGTAGATATATTATTGAAAACAGAGAGGGCAGAGATTTAGTCTGTTTTGTTCTTTCCAGCTTTTGAAATTTTTTTGTGTATTTATGTAGCTATAAAATAAATTTTAAAATTGTAGTGTCTGATAAAATAAACATTTTATATTCTGCTTTTAAAATGTGACTTTATATTAGCATTTCCTTTGTGATAAATTAGTCTTTAAAATCATTATTTTAAGATTAGGGCTGGTCAGTTATCTCATTTGGTTAAAGCCTGGTGTCATAATACAATGTCAAGGGTTTGGATCCAGCTGCCAAAAAAAAAAAAAGACTGTATAACATTCTGTACTATCATTTATTTAGTCTTTTCCCTATTGTTGAAAATAGATTTGAGGTTTTTTTTCCATCAAAAACAATGACGGGTTGGATATCTGTATACATATCTTTGTCAGTATCTGATTGTTTTTTTAGAATAATCCGTAGAAGTAGGACTGTTGAGTCAAAGAAATAAGTTTTTAAAAATGCTTTAAGGGCCAGCCCATGGCTCACTCGGGAGAGTGCGGCGCTGGGGCTCCCGCTGCGGGTTCGGATCCTATATAGGGATGACCGGTGCGCTCACAGCGCTCACTGGCTGAGCGCGGTGCGGCCGGTCTCAAAAAGGACAAAAAAAAAAAAAAAAAAGATGACCAGTAAGGGGATCTAAACCCTTGGCTTGGTGTTGTGAGCACCATGCTCAGCCAGCGAGCTAACCGGCCATCCCTATGTAGGATCCGAACCTGTGGCCTTGGTGTTATCAGCACCGCAGTCTCCCAAGTGAGCCACGGGCCGGCCTTTTCGGGCTTTAAATAGTTACTAATCTGATGGGCAAACTCTTGTACCTTAGTTATTTCAGTATGTATGTCATTAATTACTAGTTATGTTAAACATATTTGAATTTTCGACTGTGCTTCATTTTTTTATTAGCTTGTAAGAGTGCTATACAAATTTTATTTCCTTTTGTATTTTTTTGTCACATATAGTATAGATATATGTACTGTATCTGAATTCATATTTTACCTTTTACATGTTTTCACATAGAGAAGTTTCTACATGGCCACATTTTTCATTCTTTTTCTTTACCATCAATGAAGTATTTAAAATGAGTAGCACATCTGCATAAACAAAGGTCTTTTTTTTTCCTCCTTGGCCACCTACAGGTCAGAGAGGAAATTGAATGAAACCCAGATTTGAAAAGTTTAACTCTTGGGGCTGGCCTGTGGCTCACTGGGGAGAGTACGGTGCTCATAACACCAAGGTCACAGGTTCGGATCCCATATAGGGATGGCCGGTTTGCTCACTGGCTGAGCGTGGTGCTGACAACACCAAGTCAAGGGTTAAGATCCCCTTACCGGTCATCTTTAAAAAAAAAAAAAGAAAGAAAAGAAAAGTTTAACTCTTCCAGGACCTTTAGTAGTTGATAGAGGAGAGTGGAATAGAGTAAAATGGGGCTGATTTTAGAAGGTGTAGGATATGTAGTCTCTGTATCTGCAGGATGTTTCCAATTGATGGGGTAAACAGCTCTTGAGAATTAATATGCATCATCTTTTATCTAACAGACCTCTTACCAATTTTAACACTCAGTAACACCTCCTCTTTCCCATTCCTAGTGTTTTAAATCTTGGCCAGTCCATTTCTTTCTTTCTTTTTTTTTTTTTTAAAAAAAGATGACCGGTAAGGGGATCTTAACCCTTGACTTGGTGTTGTCAGCACCACGCCCAGCCAGTGAGTGAACCGGCCATCCCTACATGGGATCCGAACCCGGGGCCTTGGTGTTATCAGCACCGCACTCTCCCGAGTGAGCCACCGGGCCAGCCCCAGTTCATTTCTTTCTTGATATCTCTGGGACCTATTCGTTCCTCCATGTTTCTGTAACTTACTCCTTTACTGAGCTCATTCTAACCTCTCCTTGTTGACTGCACGCCTCCTCCTTCCAGGCTACCTATTACATGTTTCCAGAATGGTTTCCTCAAACATTTTTCCTTCATTGTGTTTTTTTTTTTTTTTTACCTGTTTGATAATGTATTAAATAATGGTAAGTGAGAACTTATGACCTTCAGCTCTAAGTGCCAACTTGTCTGTCTGCTTGGTCTTGCATAGTGGGAAGAGGATGGGCTTGGGAGTCAGTCTGATCTGCCTGATGCACTAATTCCTTAACCTCTCTGAGATTAGTGTCCTCACCTGGTACATGTGTAACATGAGCTTAAAGTTTCCATTTTTCCTCCCTTTCCCTCTTTCCTCTGCTGAACTTCTTTCTTTTTTAAAAAGATGACCAGTGAGGGGATCTTAACCCTTGACTTGGTGTTGTTAGCATCATGCTCTCTGAAGTGAGCTAACCAGCCATCCCTATCTAGGGATCCAAACCCGTGGCCTTGGCATTATCAGCACCACACTCTCCCAAGTGAGCCATGGGCCAGCCCCTGAACTTCTTTCTTTATGCTTGGGCTTTGGCTGTCTTCTAAAGGAAGGAAGCTGTTCTATTCCCACATGTTTGTTTGCATATTTATTTATTTGTACCATTGCACACATCATTGCTACCAAAACTGTTTCCCCTCTGCCTCATGGCGTCTTTCTACTGGTCCTCCAGCTTCCAGAATCTCAAAACTCACTTCCAGAAATCCTTTTTTGATTAACCCAACACAGCAGTTATTCTTGTTATTTCCTTACATTTAAATAGTTTGTATTTTATTAATCAGAAAATACTGTTTTGAGGGCCAGCGCGTGGCTCACTTGGGAGAGTATGGTGCTGGTAACTCCAAGGCCACAGGTTCGGATCCCTATATAGGAATGGCTGGTTAGCTCACTTGGGAGAGCGTGGTGCTGACAACACCAAGTCAAGGGTTAAGATCTCCTTACCAGTCATCTTTTAAAAGAAGAAAAAAAAAAAAGAAAGAAAATACTGTTTTGTCATTATGAGACATGTTTACCACTCATTTAAATTTTTTTTCCTGGGATGGCTGTTTAGCTCAGTTGGTTAGATTGTGGTGCTGATAACACCAGGGTCCCGGGTTCAATCCCTGTTTTGGCTGGCCACCTAAAACCAAAAACAAAACAAAAATTTGAAAAACAAGTTTTTTCCTTTTTTAAATTTTTAGAATCTGATGTTCCAGCAGAACTCCAGGTATTAAAAGAACCTCTACAACAGCCAACTTTCCCTTTTGCAGTTGCAAACCAACTTTTGCTTGTTTCTTTGTTGGAGCACTTAAGCCATGTGCATGAACCAAACCCACTCCGTTCAAGACAGGTGTTTAAATGTAAGTAAGAATAACTTCATCTTGCTGAACAAAGCTTGTAAAAATACTATGTTGTTTAATGCCGTGGGTCTAGAAGCAGCTAGTATATAAAAATTATGTGTGAAACAAGTATAAATAATTTATTCATTAAATTCATTTTATATTTTCCTTTGGGTAATGGTGACCCCAAAATTGCATGTAATTGAATAAATAAAAGGTAGTTCTTTTATACTGTATTATGATAATTTATATAATTTTTGAATATTTGTATGGTTTAGTCAATGAACAGGTAAAAGAGAATCACATGTACTTATTCTGAGCCAATTCTTGACCAGAGGTCTGAAACAGCTGTATATCTTGTTGTTGAAAGTATTTATTTTATTTTTACTGTAGGGTATTGTATGATAAACTTGAGCACTAAAGTGGGCAGAATTATAGATGTTTCTGGTTCCCCTTCTTAAGACTGTTGCAGCCTCATTAATAGCTCCAGCCACAGATTCTGGGGTTCTTTTCTACCAAAAAAGACTTTCCAAGTCTGGTTTCATGTTAGAAGTCCTCAAACTTATAGATATCTTTATGTGCTCTAGAACTTAATATGTTTTTAGTTAAAGATATATTATCATTCTGATAAACTTGATAGGACATGAAAAATGGGAAAAATATTTGTACAGTGTACACTTATTGTTTTTTTGAATAAAACAAATTTTTTTATATACTCTATATCCTAAGCAATGGCATATGTGGTGGGGAGGTGGGTTGTACAAAAGGGGGTGTTCCTTATGTTCCAAAGCTTTGGTACCTGGGGATTATTGTATTAGGCAGAGAAGCAGATTGTAATAATTTTAATACAATAATCTTGCTCATAATTAAAGCAAATCTGTGAATCTTACTGATTTTAAGATAATTTTGAATTTCTTGTACACAGCCTTTTTAGATGACTGAATTTTAAAACAAGGTATATTTAAATGAATGTTTTTGATGTGATTCAGTTAGTTAAGTTGATAATCTAAGTGGAGAGTTTTTGATGTGGAAAGAAAATCCTCTAGTATCTATTTCTTTATTTTTATTTTTAATTTTTATTGAACCAAAATTGATTATGTGTATATTTGGGATTCAATATTGAGATATGTCGATCAAATTAATATTACTAGCATATGTATTGTTACAAATCGTAATTATTCTTTATGCCCCTTGTCCAGTCTCTCCCCAAGTATCTTATTTCTTGAATGAGTAAAAGCCACAGCACCTCTGTAGAAACTTCTTTTTCTGAGGAGCCTGGTATTTGGTCTATGCACACATTTAATAAGTGCTTTTTGTGTGTTGATTAAAGATATTCCGTAATAGAAAAGAACAATTAATACTCACTTTTATTGTTAGTTCTAATCATTTGTTTCCATTCCTTCCTTTACTCTTATTTTATTGCAAAATGTAATGGGTGGAATGGCAGAAGGCTATGTTTACATTTTTTCTTGCCTTTTTTAAAGATAGAGCTTAGTACTTTACTGACTAGGCATGGTAAACAAATGACTGTACAGTGTAGATGTCCTCCTGATCCATGAGTGTACCAACTGATCCTTCTCTTTTAGAGAATCAGTCTGCAAGTTTAATGTGTACATAAACATAACTTTTTTCTTATAGAGCTTTTGTGTGTATTGCTATTATTACTCTTTATTCTCTGCATTCTTTAAAATTGCCATTTGATTGTTGGCCTTTCTAATAATATTTTCCATATTGTTTTTATAGTACTTTGTCAGACCTTTATCAAAATGGGGCTGCTGTCATCTTTCACCTGTAGTGATGAGTTTAGCTCATTGAGACTACATCACAACAGAGCTATTACTCATTTAATGAGGTCTGCTAAAGAGAGAGTTCGTCAGGTAAGCTCTAAAAGATGTACTTGTGTATGATAAAAACATATTTTAATTTCAAGAGAACTGTGTTTTAAGGCATCATGAAATCCTAATGATAACACATGTTTTTAAAAATATAAACTTTTTAGTTAGCTCAGTTGGTTAGAATGTGGTGTTAATAACACCAAGTTCAATGGTTCAGATCCCTGTACCAGTCAGCCATCAAAAAACAAGAACAAAAAATTTTAATTTGTTTATTCCAAGAATATTTATTGAGGGCTGGCCAATTAGCTCAGTTGGGAGAACGTGGTGCTGACAACACTGAGGTCAAAGGTTTTGATCCCCTCAAAAAACCCACCAAAAAACAATAAAACAATATTTAATGAGTGATTACTATGTGTAATCACCTCTTTCATAGGCGCTGGGGTTAAAGAAGTTAACAAAATAGATCAAAACCCCTGCCTTCATGGAGCTTATATTCTGATGAGGGTGTAGTAAACAACAGAAAAAAATATATATGGGGCATTAGGTGGTGATAACCTAAAGGAGAAATAGAAAGCAGTGAAGGGACTTAAAAAATATTGGAGGGACTGTATTAATTTCACATATGGTGGCCAGGGAGAGCTTCAATGAGACTTGTTATTTAAGTTGAGAGCTGAAGTTAAGAGAAGGAGACATGCAGATATCTAGAGGAAAAGTATTCCAGGCAGAGGAACAGTAATTGCTAGGGCCCCATGGTGGCAGTGTGCTGGCTTGTTTTGGGAGCTGCAAGGCAGCCATTTAGCTTTAGTAAGGTAAGCAAAGGGGCAAGTTTAGGAGAGGAGGAGGATGGGGAGCAGGTAAAGGGGACAGAGGGAGTAGGATCTTGAGACCATTTTAATGTTTTTTAGTTGTAAGATGGGAAGCGTTTCAGGATTATGAGGAGAAGAGTGACATAATCTGATTTACATTTTAACGGGTCACACCAGCTGCTGTGTTGAGAATAACCTGAGGAGGCAAGGGCAGAAGTGGGAGACAGGTGTCATCACATGGGCAAGAGAAGATGGAGGTGAGGAGTGGGGTGGCAGCAGTGGAGATGTGAGGAGTGGTTAGTTTCTGCATTTTTTTTTTTCTGTGGCTGGAAGATATGGGAATCCAAACCCATGACCTTGGTGTACAAGGCTACGCTCTAACCAACTGTCTGCATATATTTTGAAGGTGAAGTCAACATTATTTGCTTATGGAGCTCCTTGGTAAATTCTCAGCTTTGAAATATTTTCTTTTCTGTTTTTTTTTTCTTTTTAAAAGATGACTGGTAAGGGGATCTTAACCCTTGACTTGGTGTTGTCAGCACCACGCTCACCCAGTGAAGTAACCGGCCATCCCTATATGGGATCCGAACCTGTGGCCTTGGTGTTATTAGCACCACACTCTCCCGAGTGAGCCACGGGCCGGCCCAAGCTTTGAAATATTTTCAACTGTAAACTCTTAAGTAAGCCACTGAGTTTTTAAAATTAAAAAAAATGTATTGTTTGACCATTTGGGGCTATTAACATGACATTGAATTTTGACGGTATTTTTTTTTTTTTTTTAAAAGATGACCGGTAAGGGGATCTCAACCCTTGGCTTGGTGTTGTCAGCTTCACGCTCAGCCAGTGAGCGAACTGGCCATCCCTATATGGGATCCGAACCCGGGGCCTTGGTGTTATCAGCACCACACTCTCCCGAGTGAGCCACGGGCCGGCCCCCTGACGGTCTTTATTTCATGAAACTTTCAAATGTTTTTTAAAAATAATTTTTTGGTTTTAGGATCCTTGTGAGGATAATTCTCATATCCAGAAAATAAGGTATGTATTAAATACTTTTTTGATTATGCAATGACTAGACTATTCAAAAGAAATCAAGATTAAGAAAATATTCATTTTAGGGTTAAAAAATAATGTAGTTAGGGTAGTTTATGAAAATTAAGAACTTGGTCCTCATCCGTTAAGTAGTGTTCCAAGATTTGCTTTACTTCTCATTTCCCTTCACTTTGATCCCCTCCTCCCCCAGCCCACTAAGTGTAGAATTTTGGCTGTATTTAGGAAGTGCTAGTGTAAAATCTAACTGTTTTGCATTATTAAAAAATTTAAGTAAATTTATTACTGAGTTCAACTGATCAACTGCTGCCTGTTAGTCTCCCTGAGGATTTCTGCTGTAAAACAGTGATAATAATTTCTAATTGGAATACTAATTACTGGTAAAACACTTGGAATTAATGACCCCCTTGCTATTTTTTATTACATTGTAGATTTGCTTAGCCAATGTTTTCTTTGTAGAGAATGAAAAATTTCATTTTAGCTCATCTTTTCCAAATTATCACAATTTAGTGATAAATGAGGTTTGGCAGTTTAGTAATACAGTGAGTATGAACTATTCTAGAACATTTTGATTCTCCCATGTTTTGAAATTGATTAATTGTTTGTATTTAACTTTTAGATCAAAGGAAGTAGCCTTTGAAGCGCAAACTTCACGTTACTTAAATGAATTTGAAGAGCTTGCCATCTTAGGAAAAGGTGGATATGGAAGAGTATACAAGGTTGTTTTCTACATACTCGTTTTGACTTACTACATAAATAAGTATATTTTGAGAAGTTGTTTTCATTATTATTATGTAAAGTGCTGAAAGGAAGAGCCCTAGAATTTATGTGCATTTACTTTTTGTTAAGATTTGTCGGTTACAGCAAAGGGGGCAGTATTTAATTTTTTCCTAGCCATGTTGGTTGTTTAGGTAGATCCTGGAAACTTTGCATTTTTGTTGTTTTTTTTGACAGCTGGCTGCTATAGGGATTCGAACCCTTGACCTTGGTGTTATAACACCACACTCTAACCAACTGAGCTGAGAGGCCAGCCCTGGCCTTACATTTCTGTTCTGTAGTTAATTTTTATTAAAAATGTATTACTAAAAAAAGCACTACTGTGTTTTGGGCCTTACATAGCTTTTTTGTCAACATTCCCATTCTTCAGACCTAGAACTTCTAGGAGTTGGGCTGTCACTACAGCTTGAAAAGCTTCTAGTCTAGCTGACTAGAGATTACTTCCCTGAATGTTGCAAGGAAACATGTCTTTAGCTTAATATTTTCTCTTTGGCTAATTTGGATTACCTAAGGTCAGATTATTATTATTATTATTTTATTTTATTTTTTTAAAAAAGATGACCGGTAAGGGGATCTTAACCCTTGACTTGGTGTTGTCAGCACCACGCTCAGCCAGTGAGCGAACCGGCCATACCTATATAGGATCCGAACCCGTGGCCTTGGCGTTGTCAGCACCACACTCTCCCAAGTGAGCCACGGGCGGCCCTCTAAGGTCAGATTAAAAGAACTTCTTTATTCAGTTGGAGTTTAATGGCACAATATACTTTGTCTTTTTTTCTATTTTTTAGGTCAGGAATAAATTAGATGGACAGTATTATGCAATCAAAAAAATCCTGATTAAGGGTGCAACTAAAACAGATTGCATGAAGGTATGATTTAAAAAAATTATCTCTTTTGAATATATGTATATGTATTATATTTGGCAAATAGTAGGAGTTATGGGTTGCCAGTTTACTGAGAATTGGGTTAAAGTATAGTAAATATCAAAACTAAAATTTTATTTGATGTAATTTTTTTTAATAAGTACATTCTAAGATGTTGTTGAAGGGGTTGGGGAAAGGCCCACTGCTGGCTCCATTGCTGGCCTAGTTGCAGTTGGTGGTGGACAGGGCTGAGGCCCACAACCAGCCGGCCCATGGCCTGCCCCAGGGGCTTCCACTTAACAGCTCTGTCTTTCTGGCCTGGTTGCAGTCGAAGGTAGACCTTTTTTTTTTGACATAGTTTTCTTATACACACTTCAGACTGACATTTTATGGTCACTGCAGGGGAAATTAACTTTTTAAATAAATGATTAATATGTAGTGTAGCTTATTATAAAAAAACATGAGCCCAATTTAGGTCCCAGTCTTCTCCCTGACATGCGTTGTGGTCCTGGGCAAATTGCCTAGTCCTCTGAGCCACTTCTGTCTTCCATCCTTGAAATAGTAGTGACAGTAGTGGTTTTACTTACCTTGGAGGACTGGTGTAGGAATTAAATGAGGGAATGATGATAAATGAACTATGAAAAGTATAAAGTGCTGTGTAAACATAAGTTATTTAGTTGCTGTACCAATTGCCATTTTGTCTCACAGAAATATTTCCATTATTTTAATATAGTTTAGATTCCTTGTACAGAGGGGTTTTTATTACTTTGCTCTGGAACAAGGTACATTTGATATCGCAAACATTCAGTAAATTGTCAGTAAAATCCTGATCTGATTACATTTCTTTTTTAGGTGCTACGGGAAGTGAAGGTGCTGGCGGGTCTTCAGCACCCTAATATTGTAGGCTATCACACTGCATGGATAGAACATGTTCATGTGGTCCAGTCACAAGGTGAGCAGTTTTTGATGACTTAGTCAAAGGGTTGGCAAATGTCAGCCCGTAGGCCAAATCTGGCCTGCCCTTGTTTTTGTACATCACACAAACTGAGAATGGTTTTTGCATTTCCAAACAGTTAAAAGAAATCAGGGCCGAGCCCATGGCGCACTCAGGAGAGTGCGGCGCTGGGAGCACGGCAGCGCTCCCGCCGCAGGTTCGGATCCTATATGGGGATGGCCGGTGCGCTCACTGGTTGAGCGTGGTGCGGCTGGTCACAAAAAGGACAAAAAATAAAAATAAAAATAAAAAAATAAATAAATAAAATAAAAGAAATCAAAAGAATATTTTGTGAAAAAATTTCAATGTCAGTAAAGTTTATTAGAACACAAGCTCATTTATTTACCAATTGTCTATGGCTGCTTTTACACTGTAATAGAATTTAGTAGTAACAGTAGAGTTCCACGGGGCCCCCCACATCTAAAATATTTACTATCAGGTTCCCTAGAGAAAGTTTGCCGACTTTGGTATAGTTGAGCTACTCTGTTTTTATAGGTCCTAAAATGTGCCAGTTGTTTGAATAAACTTGTATGTATTTTGCCAGAAGGTCGTGACATTTTTAGACTCGTAGTTTCATTTGGTATTATTTCTATATTTTAATTCTGTTTTTGATGATAAATTGGAAAACTGAGCTGCTTGAAGATTTTTTTAAAAAAATTTTTGTTCAGCAGACAGAGCTTCTATTCAGTTGCCATCTCTGGAAGTACTCTCTGACCAGAAAGAGGACAGGTATGTGGACTGGCATGTACTTCTACACTTTAGGACATTGCCTACTGTTACCTGTATTGGGTAGCCTTTTCCTTTTGCTACTAGGAGTTCAGGAGGAGTGTTTTAGACTTTTTTTTTTTAACTTGTTTTCATTACAAAATGTTAAGTTATTTTATCATCTCAGATATTTCCTGTTAGTATTTTAAATAAATGCTGCTGCTAGACAGATTTGATGCCATTTTTTTCAGAAGTTTACCAATAAGATTCATCTAGGCTTGAAGAAACAGTTGAGTTATTCTTGATCCTTTTTTAAATTGACTTTTTTCTTTACTGTGTTTCTCTACAGAGATCAATTTGGTGTAAAAAATGATGAAAGCGGTAGCTCATCCATTATCTTCGCTGAGTTCACCTCAGAAAAAGAAAAACCCTTCGGAGAATCTAATGTTGAAAACCAGAATAACGAACTGGTGAACTACACTACCAATTTAGTCATAAGAGACACCAATGAATTTGAATCGTCCATTGAGTTCCCAGAAAATAGTTTAACTGATTTATCTACCAGACCTATTGTCAAGCATCAGCTACCACTTAGGCATACGTCAGACCTAGAAGAGAATTTCACATCCACCGAGGAATCTTCTGAAGAAAACTTAAACTTACTGGGGCAGACAGAGGTACCTTTCTTTTTCAGAACCTACCAATTTGATGTTTACTCATAACAATGGTATAAAGGACTGTGATTGTGTATGCCATCCCTCTTGGTCAGCTGACTTCCCACTTTGCACCCCTCCATCTCTGTGCTCTAGGTCTTCTGCCCTGTACTCAGTCTTTTGTACTAGCCTTGTTCCCTCTTGCCATGGCCTCTGTATTCGGTCTTCCCTCCTTTACTTAGTTATCTCCTACTCCTTCTTTTCTGACCTCCCTGACGGGGTCATTTGTTTCTCTAGATATTCTTGTATATGTACCCTGGACTTGGAAGCCTCATTCACACTCTATTTCTGTTGTATGTTAGCACTTGCTATAAAAATACATTTATGCAAAAAGATGTTCTATATTGCAGAGCATGACTTTAGGAAGAGTCCCAGGTCAGTTTTTAAGATACACTCGTTGAGGATTATACTAATATGCTGGTCAGACTCCCACCATACTCTCACCAGTATTAAGTTTTAGTATTAAAAAACCTGAACATTAACAGGGTCTACACATAATCTATCTTGTTAGGATTACAAAACTGTATATACCATCTGTATGTACACAATGCAGAATTAATTCTTGTCCAGGAATACGTGTCTCCGTGCATGTTTTTTATGAAACACAAAACTTTAAACAGGTTCACTTGAATCCAAAGGAGTTGAGTTTGGGGACTTTTAATAAGAATTGTTTGATTTCTCTGTATTACATTTGGCAAATTTTCCTGGATGCCTAAGTAAGTGGGCTACAGTGAGCTTAATGTTTGCTTACTTTTTTTCTTGAATAAGTTATTAGTTATGTACAATGTGAAGCCAGCCAAAGTATGTATATGTTGGAGTATGCATAGAACAGCAGAATATCATAGAGACATTCTTTGATGCTTTATTTTAGCTTTAAAAACTGTTTTATGTAGAGCAAACCAGACAGTTTCAGGACCATTTCCTCAGTGTCGCATTTTAGAGCTTCTGCCATTGGACCTCTGCCTGTCTTCAGCCTGGCCTATCCTTATTCCTTGTATTATGACATGCTGTTTCAGTTATTGCTGTATTTATTTGTCTCCTTCATTTGACTTTAGGCTTGTTGGGTAGGCCTGTGTCCTCAGCAGTTAGCTGTGATGCTTGGCCTAGAATGGGCAAGTGAGTATTTGTTGACTAAATGAGTAACATGAGCGAATCTTGGAAAGATGGGAGTTAGCGGTGTGTCCTCTCCTAGGTGCAATACCACCTGATGCTGCACATCCAGATGCAGCTGTGCGAGCGCTCCCTGTGGGACTGGATAGCCGAGAGAAACAAGCGGGGCCTAGAGCGTGTGGACGAATCTGCCTGTAAGTACTGTCCGGGACTATAAATAAAGACAGAGTCAGATCGTCTCCATCTAATGTAGGAATTGCCTTCAGGTGCTTTAGATTAGAAAAGGCAGAAAAAATCCCGAAGACACAATTGTGCTTATTTCAACATTTTTCAAAAATAAAAAGGTATTTGACAGTTAATTTTCTCTGTGATAGATATATAGGTTATTGATATTTAAGCAGTAATATACTGGAATTTAGGTTAATGATTTTGGATAAGAAAAGGTTTTTAATTTTTTTTTTTTTAACATAATAAAGGTTTATTTCTTGTTCACTTATGGGGATACAAGCTCCCCTGGTATGGTTTGAATGTCCTCCAGAACTTACGTTGAAATTTAATTGCCATATGAAGGAGAGGAAGGCAAGGAAGGTTTTTGCAGGCCAGATAGATTTTGCAACCTATTGATTTTGGAAGCCCATTTGCAGAACTAGTTGGAGGGCTCATCCAGGAAGCCTGTGTACAGAGCAGCACCTGGGAAAATGAAACAGAACACTAGTTAGTTTCTTTTGTGGCTCTGGGGCCACTGGGATATTCCAGACCCTGCTCCATCAACTGAGGGGCTCATTCCACATCTGTGCTTCTCTAGGCCTCTGGGGGACCAAAGTGGGGTAGCAGTTCCCTGCTTGTGTTACAGAAATGGTGAGTGTATGAACAGACCAGGGAGGCTGCTAAGGCCAGTTGCACATATTATGTTACATTTTATTTCATTCTTTTTAATCTGTATTTTTCTCTGCATAAAAATGTGTTTCTTAATATTTAAAAATGTGAATAGGACAGGGAGCTTAATAAATCTTAAGAACAGTTTCATCCCCCAAAATATGTCAGTCACTGTACCCATGCCATCAGGTCCCATGTAGAATAATGACCCACTTGGTCAGTCACACTGTAGCTACCCAAAATCTAGACTTAAATTTCTACATTCTTCTTTACAGATGAGGCAGATTCAAACAAAAGGCAGCTAGAATTATCAGATCCATTCAAGTTTTTACTTGTAGACTATGATGTCAGTTATAACCTCTGACTTGCCATCTTTAAAGAGTCATTTTTGATATTTTTAGTTAGTTAACCAGACCTACGGTTGAACCTCAACTTGCCCTGCTAACTGATCTTGAGCAATAAAACCTCTCTTGGTCTTGGTGTTGCCATCTGGGAATGTTACTTAACTTCAAAGGATTGCTGTCAAATTTATTTCATCGACTCTACCGTGCACCATTATTGAACCATTATTGAACTAAGAAAGAAAAACTGCTATCAGTTTCACCATGACACAATGCTTTCTTATCACTTAGAACAGGGGTTGGCAAATTGTCAGCCTGCCATCTATTTTTGTATGGTACATGAGCTGAGAATGGCTTTTATATTTGTAAATGACTCAAAAAAATCTAACAAAACAATAATATTTTGTGACACATGAAAAAAATTTAATTACCATTGTAACATTATTAAGAGGTAGGACCTCTAAGAGGTGATTTGGTTATAAGGGCTCTGCGCTCATCATTGGATTAACGCCATTATTGCAGGAGTGGGTTAGTTCTATCAAAATTGGGTTTGTTGTTAAAGCGAGTTTGGTCTGATTTCCTCTTTCTGTCTTGCACATTTGCTTGCTTTTCTGCCATGGGATGAACTTTACCAGATGTGGCCTTTCAGATGTGGACTTCCCAGCCTCCAGAACCTGAGCCAAATAAACTCCTTTTATTTATGAGTTACCCAGTCTGTGGCATTGTTATAGCTGTAGAAATGGAGTAAGGGAGAAAATTGGTACTCGGAGTGAGGCTGTTGCTATAATACCTGAAAATGTGGAAGCAACTTTGGAACTGGGTAATGGGCAGAAGTGGAAGAATTTGAAGGAGCAGGATAGAAAAACCTAGATTGCTGTAAATAGAGCATTAAGGGTAATTCTGGTGAGGGCTCAGAAGAAGAGAAGACTAGGAAAAGTGTGGAACTTCTCAGAGATTATTTAAGTGGTCTTGGTCAGAATGCTGGTAGAAATATGGATAGTAAAGGCCATTCTGAGGAGGTCTCTGATGGAAATGAGGAACAAGATATGGAAACTGGTAAAGACCTGGTGATGCCAGTCTAATCATGACAACAAATTCCAGTTGAGGGACACTCTACAAAATATCAGACCAGTAATCCTCAAAAGTTTCAAGGTCATCAAAAACAAGAAAAGTCTGAGAAAGTGTCATAGGCCAGAGGAACCTAAGGAGACATGATAACTCAATGTAATATGGTATATCCCGAATGGGGTCCTGGAGCAGAAAAGGGGAACTGGTAAAAACTAAGGAAATCTGAATAAAGTGTAGACTTCAGTTAATAATATATTCTATCAGTATTGGTGCATTAATTATGACAAGTGAACCATACTAATGTAAGGTGTTAATAACAGGGGAAACTGAGTTTTATGGGAACTGTCTGCACTATCTTCTCAGTTTTTCTGTAAATCTAAGACTTTCCTAAAAAATAAAATTTATTTTTATAAAAAAGTTGTTATTTGGGACAGCACCAGTTCTTTTTATTTATTTATTTATTTATTTTAAAAGATGACCGGTAAGGGGATCTTAACCCTTAACTTGGTGTTGTCAGCACCACGCTCAGCCAGTGAGCGAACCGACCATCCCTGTATAGGATTCGAACCCATGGCCTTGGTGTTATCAGCACCGCACTCTCCCGAGTGAGCCACAGGCCAGCCCAGCACCAGTTATTTTTATATAATTGGTCTTTGGTATTTTTTTGAAAATTCTCTTGTTGATTCTCATGTGTAGCTGAAGTTAAAAATCACTGTATTAGATTATCAAAATAGCAGATGAGAGTGACTTGATTTTTTTTTTTTTTTTTTTTTTTTGTCTTTTTTCGTGTCCGGCAACGGATCGCAACCCTCAGTGTCGCGCCCATACCGGACCGGGACCGGCAACGGGATCGCAACCCTCGGTGTTGCCCCCACACCTCGCTCAGCCAGTGAGCGGCCGGTCTGTATGTGGGATCCGAACCCTCGGCGGGAGCGTTACCGCGCTTCCCAAGCGGCGCACTGTAGCAGTGCGCCACCGGGCCGGCCCGAGAGTGACTTGATTTTAAGTAAAGATTCAACTAAATATCAATCAATAATTGTTTGCTGTTCACTTTTTCATTTGGTCTAAAACATGGGCTGGTTAACCTACTCAGAATCTTAAGACTAGCTGCCCATGGGAAGACAGAAACTTAATGTCTTCCTCCAGCACTTCCATGATGCACCCCTGTGCTGCTTCTCTCATTTAACCATGGAATTAGGAGGAGGACGTGCCAGGACTTGTCCAGTTCAGTGGTAACAAGTAGTGTGTTGGCTATTTTCAGTGCTCGGTAAACTTGTGTCCTTTGCCTGCTGCATAAACATTGTATTGTTATGTGCAGGTGTCTTTATCTTTTAAAATGAAATGGTTTATTAAAGCCCTGTATGCAGTTGTTGATCTTTAAACTTCCACTGGAAAGTAAGTAATGAATATGGGATGAGAACTCTAATTTATACCATCCAGGATGATAAACCTATCAAAACAATGAAGGCAGAATATGTATGGTGCTGCTAGCACAATGTATATTTTTCTTTTTAAAATAAAAACTGTTAACTTTGTAGCATTCTAGCACTGTGTTTATAGCTTTACACCAATTCTGATTTTATATTTTATCATTCCCAACAATCCCATGAGCAGAAGACCTGGGTTTGAATCCTGGTTATAGTACTCACCAGCTCTTAAGGTTTTGGGCAAGTCAGGTAACTGCTCTCAGCATATTTCCTCATCTGTAAGATGTGATTATCCCTATTTTATAGGGTTGTTATGAGGATTAAAACAATAAATGTAAAGGATGTAGCAGATTGCTAGGCGTAGAGGAGGCACTGAATGAGTGGAGACTTACCACTGGGTCAGGTCCTTGTGTGGTTACTGAATCCTCTTAGCTGTGGCCCACCTTTTGGATATGTAAGGTGGGTTAAAGTGACAGACCAAAGGAAGGCAGTTATTCTGAATAGCTGTGAAAGTCAAAAGCCTTCCTTGTATTTCTACCGAGACAGGAGGTGGGTCACTTCAGTGTGAGGGTGTGTCGTAGTAGGGGTACTTACCAGTGGAGCCATTGCTTACACACACACACATACACACACACACATTTTTTCTGTCTTCTGAAGTACTTGCCCAAGCATGTGCTAGATACTCCATAAGGAGGCAGTTGTTTTCTGTGTGGAATAGGTTTGAGCTTTAAAACAAATGAGGTTCTTTCAAGGAGAAGGGAGCATGTAGTACTCTTGTTCTTGAAAGTAAACAATACGTTTATGATTTAAAATGATTGAGCCATTAAGCTCTTATGATGTTACTAAAAGTACTTGGTGGGAAAACTCCAGGGTTGTTTTCTTTATCAATTTTTATTTGTTTTAGTCCTACAAAACTTCTCCACCTTCTAAATTTATTTATTATTTCATTATATTACTAGATGAACTAATTCATTTCCTTTTTTGGGGGGGCCATATACTTCATTTGTCAGTCATTTATAGAAAATGAGGCATTCCAGATAAATCATCCAGATGATGGAAGCTTACCCCTTAAGCTAACATAATTTATCTTTTTTCTTGTTCCATTATTTGTAATAATGTCTTTAATCCACTGTAGGCCAGGACACCAGATTTATTAGCATTAAATCCCAGGATGTCAAGTGTTGAAGGGGACTTCATCTAATCTAGTCACCTGATACTTGAGAATTGTTTAAAAATAATTAATATAGGGGCTCTGACTGAAATTAAAGGTACTCTCCTTCTAGTGACACAAAGTCCATTAACTGTGGGTGCTAGTTTGTGATGGTTTCTTTGCTAGCTGAGGAGCCCTTCCTGCCTATTTATAGGTTTTAGACCATTCTGGAGTGTTGACTTTGTTGAAAATCTGCTTAAGTGTCAGATGTTAATGTATTTAGAAGCATGTTAATGTTTAGATGTTAATGTAATGAGTAATAAATAAATAAATAAATAAACACATTTTTTTTTTTTTTTTTTACTTCAAGGTCCTTATGTTATGGCCAGTGTTGCAACAAAAATTTTTCAAGAATTGGTGGAAGGTGTATTTTACATACATAACATGGGAATTGTACACAGAGATCTGAAGGTAAGTGGGGGCCATTAAATCATTGAAAACAGTAGTAGTTTCTCAACAGAGATGACTTGATGTTGGTTCATTGAATTAAATGAGATTACATACTCTAGTTGATTTACTTAGGGTATAGTTACTTTCATACAAATCATTGATCTGTAGGGGCAGAACATAAAAACCTTTCACCGAATTTAAAAGCAGTAATTTTGAGCATTTGAAAATTCTATATAGAACATGAGTACTTTTTTTCAGGTAGTAAGTGTGCTCTGAGTACTGATATAATTGGTGATGCTAAATGTACTTAAAGCAAGAAAGAGAAAGAGAGAGAGAGAAAGAAAGAAACAAAGGCTGGCCCACGATAATACATTGATGTTTCAGAAGGAGAGAACAAATCTGTGGTTACTAGAAATGGGAGGGGGGTTGGGGAAGAGATTGGATAAAGGGCATAAAGAATAATTACGATTCGTAATAATGAATATGATTATAATATTGATTTGATCAACACATTTTGTACACAAGTGATAGTAGTCAATGCTGTACCCCCAAAATATGTATAATCAATGATACTACAATAAAGAAAAAAAATTACACACACACAAAAATGTACTTAGTGCTGACAAAAATGGTTATATGTTATTGCAGCCTGAGAGGTAAAATCTGTTTCTGTAATTATCCATCTTAAAGAAAATTTAACATGGGAAAAATTTTTTTGGTTGTTTATAAACTATAATGACTGTTCAATTTTTATCCACAAAAGACTACTAAAAAAGAGAGGAAATATATTTACTTCTTTGGATGAAGAATTTTAAGTTAATTTGCTTTTTAGGCAAAAATTAAATCATGGAAAATACTTTTAGAAGAAAATTTAGGAACAAAAAGTTAATATGCAGATCACTTTATTTTTTGAAAAAGGTTTAAGAACCAATGGTTTATACATTCAGGATGTAAAAAGTGATGGGTTCAAAGTATTTTCTGGTACACCTCTGGCCAGAAAATGCAATTTGAGTTCCCAAAATTCTGTGGCACTATGAAACTTGGAGGTCTTATTTCAAGAGATAAGCTAAGTCATTACAACAGTATATAGAATTCCATATCTTCACTGGGAGAAGTTGCTTCAAGTGTTGCTTGTATTTCTCACCATAAATATTTCTGATGTTTCTTTTACAGATATCCTCTAGGGATAAAGATTTTTGAGATAACTTTATTAGGGTTTCCCTTAAGAGATGGAATTCTGGTAGCATGATTCCTGCAGGTAGAATTCCTTTGTCATTAGTCAGTCTCAAAGGATAAGTGTGATAAAGTAGCCTGGCAAGAAGTGCCGTATTTCTTATATTGGAACTGTGCTGAAGGTACATATAAATTGGTGATTCCCCATTTCTTGTTAAAATATTAACATTAGCTTCAAATTCAAGCAGGAGATTGATTATTGCCTCCCTGCCTCCAAAACATGCCTCGTGGATAGCTGTTTGACCTTTGTGGTCCTGGGCATTGACATTGGCTCCGTGAATTAGCAGCAAACGGATGCAGCTCATCCCTGCTGCTAGCAGCCGGCCTGCTTTGCCTGAGGCGGTGCACACTGCCAGCTTCAGGGCCGTGTTGCCCGTGGAGGAGACAGCAAAGTTAACACTGGCTCCACAAGCAATGAGTGTTTCCATCATCTCCTTATTCAGTATGTCTGCAGCCATGTGAAGGGGTGTCATCCTGGATTCATTAGTAGCATTGACATGGGCACCGTTTTGGGCCAAAATGGAGAGAACTGGATAGGTCCCATATGTTATGGCTAGGTGGAGGGGTGAATGTTTGTAGCTGTTGTCCACGCGAGCATTTACTTGAGCTCCATGTTCACACAAAATGCGGAGACACAATACAGCTTTATTCTGAATGTCTGTCAGGATCCTTTGCAGTCTGTTGCTTGGGTTTGTCCACCCTGTAGAAGTGATTGGCCAGTATAGTAGCATCAGGTGAAGTGTGGTGAGGCCTCTTGTATCCCTAGGATAGGTATTGATCACACATTATACCAAATTCACAGTGGGAATGGCTGTACGTGAGAAGTGCTTAAGAAGGCAACATTAACTTAAAGTAATACCCTTTTAATTACTTTAAAGAAGTGTTTCAAAATCTGTACTCTTGGGTAATTTTTCGGGCTGTCCCAGGGTTTTTGGGGGATGTGGTAGGATGCACCTCTGCATGGTGGGGCCCAGCTTCTCATAGCAACCATTACAACTTTGTTCCTCCTGCTAGGACTATGGCCCCTTCAAGGCTGTCCCTTAGTTATTTCTGTATCCCCAGCACTGTGCAAGGTTACTAGGCATTCAGGAACATTGTGTGGACTGGAGTATGATCTGTTATTACCACAGATGTGACTCATAAAGGGCCTGAACCCCATTTACTCAATTCTTAGTGGCTCTGTATCTGCTCTACTACCTGACATTTTCACTTGTGTAACTAGGTAGTAGAATAGATGACAGGGGTTGAATCTGGAGACCAATGGTCATTCTGAAGTTAGTGAAGCCAGGTCATTTTCATTCCTTGCTCCAACCCAGGTGGAATAAGCATTTTACAGTTTCTCAGGATTGCCTCCAAAATCCCTTTATTTTGGCAGAAAAAGGGAAGGCTTATTATAAAAATATAACTGATTCACTGAAATTGAAAATGACTTTTTTTAAAATTAGAAAATATATTTATTTAGTGTGGGGGCCCTAGGCCAGGAGTGTGGTGCAACAGCAAGTAGTCCCTACCTTCGTAGGGCTTATAGCCTGGTATGCAGACAGACATGAAACAGTGAAAGAACTAAGTAAATATTGGAAATGGGCAAAGTTCTAGAGAAATACAGAACCCTTACCCAGGGATGTCATGTGGTTTGAAGGGTAGAAAAGGGTGGACTGAGGTACTCCTGAGGAGGATGGGGCGAGTCTGTGATGGAGCAGACTTGGAAAGACTTCGAGAGGACTTGTAAAACTGGGGTGGGGTTTGGGGGGGAGAGGTCAAAGGCTGGTTGACAGGGTGGAAATAAATACTATTTTTGTTCAAATAGTATTTATCGGGCACTTACTAAGTGCTAGGCATTTGGTTTAGGTGGTGGAGATACAGTGGTGTGCAAGATAAACTTCTCTTTCATGAACCTTACCTTCTAGTGGAGCGTAATAAACAAGAAAATCTGTTGTCTATTTATATTTTCTTATTTTTCATACCTAACTGAGGTTGTTAAACTTCCTGAGGGCCATGACTAGGACTTAATACATTTTCCACAACACCATTGTTGAGTATTTATTCAGTATGTATTAATTTGGCTGACTGATTTGTGTTCTTGCATTATTTCCAGTTTTTCAGAGTAGTTCATCTAGTCACTAAAGAGATTGGTTTATTCAAAATGTGATAATTTGTAGTACATAACCCATAAAGAATGAAAAATTCAGGTATAACTAGAGGAAGTAACATCTAAATCATGAATATCCTCATTTAGAAATGATTGCCTGCTGAGTTAACTTACCTTATTTCTGGGTCAGCACCATGTTCTAGCAGACAAAGCAAGCTTTGTGGCTTTTGGTTTTTGGCAGCCAGATGAATGGGGATGATACACTCTGTCTGCTTCAAGAGAAAACGAAAATACATTACAAGTAGCCCTATGTAGTCAAAAATAATATTCGTGTTAGCTTGCCAATTCAAAGGAAATAAGTATATTTAGTATCTCATAGGTTCAGTATTTTTCTGGAATGTGCATTGAGATTTTCCTTTTCTATTACCTATTTTAAATGAGCAAAACCAGTAAATTTCATATTATAAAACCTGTTTCACAGAAATGCAAATTTACCAAGGCAACAAAAATAACACTCAAAGATTTGGAAGTTGATTCTTGTAAAGAGCAAGCTCATAGTGTAAAATTAATGGTAATTACTGTGAAGTCACTTAGTCCTTAAATGATGACAAGGTGTTGTGTTTTTTAGGGCTTTACCAAAGTCATATTATCAGCAGTAAAACCTGCATTTTCAGGGTTTTCAAAGATAACGCAGCATATGTTCTGTTTATGATTAGCAGAGCTGTTTCTGCCAGTTCTTAAAATGTTTATATCAGGGGCCGGCCCGTGGCTCACTCGGCAGAGTGCGGTGCTGGTAACACCAAGGCCACGGGTTCGGATCCTATATAGGGATGGCCGGTTAGCTCACTGGTTGAGCGTGGTGCTGACAACACCAAGCCAAGGGCTGAGATCCCCTTACCGGTCATCTTTTTAAAAAAAAATATATATATATATTTATATCAGTATACCATGACTGCAAGATAAGGGGAGAGGGTGGAATAAAGAAGTGGGTGACTTCCTTTTTGGAAAAAACTTTAATTATAAAGGTAATAATCATTGTACAAAAATTTAGAAAATGAAAAAAATATATGTTAAGAAGGGAAAAAATAATTTCACCACACAGACATAATCACCATGGGTATATTTGAGAGGGCGACATCAGTGTTCTTCCACCCGAAGAAGTTATAGTCTTTTCTCACATCTGTTCATGCTTGGTGAGTGGAAGGGGAGACATTGTACTTTGGGGAGCACTGCTGTGTGTGTGGAGTGTGATAGGGATATATTGTCAAGCCTTGTGCATTGTAAGGGCAGTGAGTTTAGTGAGTTCACAAGCATTAGGTGGTCCTTTTTTCTAAACGTGACTGAGCAGAAAAGAGGGTACCTGATTTACACGTAATCTGTGGCTGGTGGAGCTGGCCATAATGGTCATGGGTTGGTTGATGGGGTGATTTCTTAGGAGTCCCTTGATCGTGGTGCAGTCCTCTCTCATTATGGCTTCAAAGAGTTCAATGTGAAATGCTACAGATGGGTTGTTTTCCAGTGACTTGGCACTGTCAATGGCCAAGTCTCTGCTTCCTCTCTTGGTTATATTTCCCATGGAAAAAACTTAAGACTGAGGACTTAAAGTTCAGTGGAAAAAGAGTTCAGAGGAAAATGTTACAGAATTGATCAGTTTCAATCTCTTTATGATAATTCCTTCAGTTCAGTTCTAGAACTGTTCTAGAATTGTAGAGAACTGTATCCGTGAACACAATTCATTTTTATATTAGGGCCAGACTTTTTCAGACTTTGTTTACTGATCATATAGTAACAAATGTCAGCACAGTTTTTAGGCTTTTCTACTCAATTGTAAAAAATAGCCAAACTATCATCTTACGCCTAAGATTATTTCTGTGTTCTCTTCTGATTCAACTGTAGTTCAAACAACTAACAAAGCTAAAACAGGGAAATTTATACATTACAATAAAAAGTTAAAATTATTATATTTGAAGTAAGAAAACAACTTTTAACCTAAGTATTTTTTAGTTTTTAGTAGAAGCTCCCCTCCCCCCAGTACAGGTATAGTTGTTTGCTGGCATAGAAGCACTTAAATTGGGAGATGCTTTGGGTCTGCAGTGGTTGCTTAAATAGAGCCAAATGTGTACCTTTATACTGTGACCTAGTTGTTCCCAAGTCTGGCTAATATATGAGAGTTATCTGGAAGTTTTTTTAAAATACCAAAATTGTTTCATAACAAATATTAACGCCTTTAACTTGTTAGAGAAGACAGTAGTTTTTAAAAGCTTCTTTTTGATGATGTACAGTCAGGGTTGAGAAGCACTTCCATGTAAAGCGTGCTCTGAATTAATGGTTCTCAAGCTTGGAATAACCTTGGGACTTTTAAATAATGTTGATGGCTGTGTTCACCTGCAGGAATTCTGATTTAATTGGTTGAGGGAATGGCTTCATATTGGGAGTTATTTAATATCCCCTTCTCCCATGATTCTAACATGCAGCTGAATTTGAGAACTATTGCTCAGATTTTTAATTTTTGAGGGGACTACTTGCTTCTGAGTTGAAAACTCTTTTAACATTCACAAGTTTTTACTGTTTGTTTTAAGAAAACCAAGGACTTGACTTGTTCTGTTTGTTCATAGCCTAGAAATATTTTTCTTCATGGCCCTGATGAGCAAGTAAAAATAGGAGACTTTGGTCTGGCCTGTGCAGACATCATACAGAAGAACACAGACTGGACCAATGGAAATGGAAATAGTAAGTTTTTTGTTGTTTTTTTCCTTTAAAAAAAAAAAAAAAGACCTGGTTGAACATGTCATTATTTAAAGAATCATAAAGATTTGATAGCAAAGGTAAGATAAAGTCAAAAAACAACCATTGTTCCCTTAGGAGCTACAATGCCCTTTTCATAGTAAATGTCTTTAATGTTGACAGTGTTAACACTGCCACGTTTAATATGTGGCTTTTCAAATTATAGGAACACCAACACATACTTCCAGAGTGGGTACTTGTCTGTATGCTTCACCTGAACAGTTGGAAGGATCCGAGTATGATGTTAAGGTAGTATTTGTTGCTCTTTACCCTTTTTTTGACTTTTTCTGCAATCATAAATAACAAACAGTACAATAAATGCAGTAGTTCTATTGGGCAGGTGTTTTTGGAGATAACTGAGTACCACAGGTTATCTATTGCATAAAAGTGCCTGGCTAAGAAGCCTCACCTTTAAACTGAATCTGACTGCATTGCTTTTCATGGTACGTTACTGTTTTTAAATCCATGGATGTCAAAAATTGTTTTTATTTTTTTATTATTTTTTTTTATTTTGGGGTTTTTATCATTTTATTTTTTATTTTATTTTGTCAGTATACAGTGTGGTTGATTATTGTGGCCCATTACTGAAACCTCCCTCCCTCCTCCCTCTCCCCGCTCCGTCCCAACAACCTCATATCTGTTCACTTGTCATATCAACTTCAAGGAATTGTAATTGTTGTATCTTCTTCCCTCCCCCCTCCAGTTTATTTGTGTATTTATTTATTTATTTTTAGCTCCCTGATGATGGACATTTGGGCTGGTTCCAACTCTTAGCTATTGTAAATAGTGCTGCAGTAAACATTAGAGTACAGGTATCCCTTTGACATGATGATTTCCATTCCTCTGGGTATATTCCCAGTACTGGAATAGCTGGGTCATATGGTAGATCTATGTGTAGTTGTTTGAGGAACCTCCAAACCATATTCCATAAAAGCTGCACCATTTTGCAGTGCCTCCAACATTGTAGGAGGGTTCCTTTTTCTCCGTAATCTCGCCAGCATTTATCATTTACAGTCTTTTGGATATTAACCATCCTAACTAGGGTGAGATGGTATCTCAGTGTGGTTTTGATTTGCATTTCCCGAATGCTGAGTGATGTTGAGCATTTTTTCATGTGTCTGTTGGTCATTCGTATATCTTCCTTTGAGAAATGCCTATTTAGCTCTTTTGCATAACACTACCTGGCTTTAAACTATACTACAAAGCTGAAAATAACCAAAACAGCATGGTTCTGGCATAAAAACAGACACACTGATCAATGGAATAGAATAGAGAATCCAGAAATCCCCCCACACCCCTACAGCCATCTGATCTTTGACAAAGGCACCAAGCCTATACACTGGGGAAGAGACTGCCCCTTCAGCAAATGGTGCTGGGAGAACTGGATGTCCATATTCAGGAGAATGAAACTAGACCCGTTCCTGTCACCATATACTAAAATCAACTCAAAATGGATTAAAGAATTAAATATACACCCTGAAACAATAAAATTTCTACAACAACAACAACAAAAAAAAAAATGAGCTTTCCCTTTAAAATATCACCATTCACCTTAGCAAGCTAGAATTCATAGAACAACAACAACAACAAAAAAAAAAATGAGCTTTCCCTTTAAAATATCACCATTCACCTTAGCAAGCTAGAATTCATAGAACAACAACAACAACAAAAAAAAAAATGAGCTTTCCCTTTAAAATATCACCATTCACCTTAGCAAGCTAGAATTCATAGAACAACAACAACAACAAAAAAAAAAATGAGCTTTCCCTTTAAAATATCACCATTCACCTTAGCAAGCTAGAATTCATAGAACAACAACAACAACAAAAAAAAAAATGAGCTTTCCCTTTAAAATATCACCATTCACCTTAGCAAGCTAGAATTCATAGAACAACAACAACAACAAAAAAAAAAATGAGCTTTCCCTTTAAAATATCACCATTCACCTTAGCAAGCTAGAATTCATAGAACAACAACAACAACAAAAAAAAAAATGAGCTTTCCCTTTAAAATATCACCATTCACCTTAGCAAGCTAGAATTCATAGATGCCTGTTTTCAGCCTTTCACTCTTCTGTTTTCAAGCTCAGGTAAATAACTGCTGCATGGAAGCCTGGCACTTAACTCCCCTTGAAATAGAATGAAGATACTGTCACGTCTTAATCCCCATTGTTCCTTGAAGAAATGTTCAAGTAAATCCTTTTTTCAAAATAATAGCCTAGTAAATTTTCTTCCTTTTGATGAATCATTGGGAAAGAGCTGCCAGAAAAACCCATGGTTGTCCCTAAAATCCTATCTACTAAAGACCTTCCTGGAAAAAGTATTTTTAGGAAAAGTAGCACAGGTTTTATGCAGAGTTTGTTAAACTTTACCAAGAATGCTTAATGATGAGTGGAGGCAGAGGTGAGACTGGAGTATAGGTCTCAGTGACATTCTGTGACTCCCCTGAAGCTGGCACCAGCAGGTGTAAGCTTACATCACTCTGCCTGGATCAGGCCTGGATTTTCAAGGGTGGTGAAGATAGTTGTATGGTCATGACTGTTGTGGGTGGTGGGAGATTATCCCTGCCCTTCACCTGACCTTAGCTCTTAAGTGCCCATGAACCCCCCTTTTTAGTATTAAAAAGACAGGGTAGTGCAAGTCCTGGTCACCCCTAGCTCAGGGAAGACACCTGCCTCTGAGAGATGAGACATCCTGCTATGTTCCGTTCATTATAAGCGACAGTAAATCCTCATTCTTAGAAATCTTCTCTTTAGGGCTGGCTGGTTAGCTCAGTTGGTTAGAGTGTGGTGCTGATAACAGCAAGGTCCAAGGTTCAATCCCTGGACCTACCAGCTGCCAAAAAAAAAAAAAAAAGAACCTTTGAGAGGATGGTACGTTGAAATGGAAATGTTATAATAACTTTGTATTTAACTACTGAATTATTTTCTGTTCTTTTTCCAGTCAGATCTGTATAGCTTGGGTGTGATCCTGCTAGAGCTCTTTCAGCCATTTGGAACAGAAATGGAGCGAGCAGAAGTTTTAACAGGTTTAAGAACTGGTCAGATACCTGCGTCCCTCAGTAAAAAGTGCCCAGTACAAGCCAAGTATATCCAACACTTAACTAGAAGGAACTCATCCCAGAGACCATCTGCTATTCAGCTGCTGCAAAGCGAACTTTTCCAAAATTCTGGGAATGTATGTAATTTTTTTTTAACATTAATTTTTTAAATTGGGGTAAAATATATATAACATGAAATTTGTCATTTTAATATTTTTATATGTATAATTTAGTGGTATTAATTACATTTACAGTATTGTGCAACCATCACCACTATGTTTAAAACTTTTCATCATGCCAAATAGAAACTCCATACCTGTTACTCATTATCCTTCCCTACAGCCCCTGTTAACCTTTAATCTGTTTTCTGTCTCTATTAATTTATCTATTCTATATATTCCATGTAAGTGGAATCATAATATTTGTCCCTTTGTGTCTGATTTATGTAAATTATTTTTAATGGTGGGGAAAATACGAAGTTTAAAGTAGAATTTGTTTAAATTGTGAATCATATTTCACAAAGAACAGTTGAACTTAGAATAAGGTTCATAGGAACATAATATTTAAACTCATTCTCCGGATTCCCTAACAGTACTAAGTTTAATACCAGTAGCACACTTGTATTCATAGTCCACATAAGCAAGTTGAGTCACTGCCAACTTTCTACTCTAAAACTTATAAGCTTCAGTTTCTAGCCTCATTTTGCTAAGTCAGTGAAAAGGTTTTATTTTTCTTTTCCAACTATGGACTATGGCATCTTATAAATTATTATAAAGGTACAGTAAGTACCAACTAGTGAAAAGGGACACATACCAAAGAGTGAAAGACAGCAATAATTCTTGGGGTGGGGGAGGGGGAAGTTGGAACAATGGTGACAGAGACTGCCTTGGCCAGTCTAAGAGCTCTCAGCATTCAACTGTGTGATTTTAGTTTTCAGTCCTGTGATGTGGTATTGCCCCTGGGCAGCCCACTCCCTTCCTCCTCCCCACATGTTGTTATAATGCCCGGTATAGTCTCTAGTCTGCATATAGTGGAAATGGTAGATGATTCATCCATTCTGTTCCTCTAGAAACTTTCTAAGGTTCATAAAAGGTTGATTCAAAGATATACTCATAGATGCTCTAGTGCTTTGCTATTCAAAATATGGTCCTCAGACCAGCTGCATCAGCATTACCTGGGAGTTCCACCCAGAAATACTGAGTTAGAATTTGCATTTTAACAAGATTCCCAAGTGATTTACATACAGTGTTTGAGCAGCATTGCATGAATGCAGTGGTTCTCATAGTGTAGTCTCCAGAGCAGCAGCATAGAATCACCTGGGAACTTGGCAGAATTCTCAGGCCCTTTCCTGTCCTACAACCTATTAAAAGAGATATTTTGGGAGGAGAGGGGACAGCAATCTGTAGTACTTTTCTCTTTTTGAAAGTGTTTGAAAATAGCAGATGTCATTCTTAAACCAAGCATAAGTATTTTATCTCTTGATATGGAGGGCATTTTCTAACACCCAGTTAAGACAGCTATTAGAGTCTATAGTTATTTGGTATTTATGGTAAGGATTTATCTTATCTTATAAAATTCTATTGTAAAAAAAGTAACCTACACATACCTATACCAAGAAGGATTTGTATATACAGGCAGTCTTTGCTTTGCGTGGTAGTGTTGGACTGTAAAAATGACCTCATAAAGCTCAAACCATGCAAAAGGCTCTTAAAAATCAATGGGAAAAGTTACAATTGTTCTGTGAACTTTAAAATTTGCCAAAACATTAAAACTCTACATGTTATAAATGTATGTGGAAATGAAAAAAATCATAAAACTAATGTTGATTTAGTGCATCATAATTTAAAATGTTAGAAACATTAAAAATTCAAGTATTTCAGTAGGTTGAACACACCTGCCTTCTTCATCTCATGTAACATCACATGGAGCAAGCATCTTTCCTATGCCTTGGTGAATTGTCATCCTCTTTCCTAAGTTTGCATCAGCTTCCAACATTTTATCCTTTGTACTTTCAACATTGAGAGTTCTTTTAACACACAGTGTTTTGCTGGTGTCACTTTCTCTGGGATGTCTTCATCCGTTTCCCCATTTTTGTTAAGTTGCCTTCACTGAGTCCCTTTGACTCTCAGTCCACATCGTCTCTCCAACAGTGTCAGCATTCCTGTGGTCAGCTCACTCTTCTATAACACCATTTACATTTGATTCAAGTTTTAATTGCAGCATTATCACTTTTCATTACTTTGCTGCACTTTCATCTTTGTTGGCCATTTGCCTCTTTCATTTATCCATTTTTAAAAAATGTCATGTGGGTTCCTCACTAGAAGGAAGCAACACAGCTACTCATGTTGCTGTACCATGACCAATCACCAACAGATTTTGAAAGAAGTGACGTGATTGGTCCCTCATCATGATATGCATCAGTTATTTACATAGCGTTTTGGAAACTGAAAAGCTTCACGTGATCATGTTTAATATGCTGTGGTTAAGTACACTTGAACCATGTTGTTGGGTTATTGGTATAACTAAACTGTGATAACTGGAATTCACGCATATTGGAACCGTGCAAAGATTGCATTCAAAAGGGAAGTAGCCGGGCCGGCCCGTGGCTCACTCGGGAGAGTGCGGTGCTGATAACACCAAGGCCCCGGGTTCGGATCCCATATAGGGATGGCCGGTT